CAGTATCCCAGCCCTCGTGCTTCCTTCGGGTAGCATGGCAGCTAGGCACCGAAAGGGCGCTACAGCTGAACGATTATTATTATTATTATTACGTCAGGACCACGCCTCGGTGGTGTGTTTAGTCTAAACTCAGTGTTGATGGCAAATGTCTCGCAAATTTTCACTAATCAACATTCATTTCTCAACAGTACTGAGCTTAGAATAAATGGGGCGAGATGAAGGGCGATGGACCAAGATGATGGACGAAATGGTTAGAGCGCGAATTCACTGACCGGAAGGTCCGTGGTTCGAACCCGACCTCTGTCTCTCGACTTCACCTGTCTAGGTTTTGGCAACTTGACAGTGTCCTAGCCTACGTGATTCTGGTGGCATGGGAGTTGGGCACCGAAAAGTTGTTACAGCTGAACGAGGTGACAATTGCCAACGCGACCAAATCGATCGATAAGAGCTTTCATGCTTCGTTGACAGGCTTTGGGTTTTCTCCATTTGACAGAAGGTCGGGCGAAGTGGTCTATACGAGGCAAACGAACTACACGACCTAATCGGCGTAACTTATGGAGTGCGACCAGCTTATCTGTCGAAGGAGATTGAACTTCTCAGAAAGCCATCTCGAGTACTTCAGCATTAGGGATCTAGTGTACCCACTGGACTTGCTCAGTGTATGTTCAATGCATAGCTCCTTTTCCACCCCCCCCCACTTGGCAGCCCACTGACAGTGCTGGATTCATGTACCAATTTATCAGCTCGCGCCTACAATGCGCAGCTACCTCCCCCTCCCCCCAAATCATCGGTGAACGAAACTGCGGCGGCTACAACCACTTTACGACGAGTACGCGGTTATTACAGCTGACAATGATGATGATGATCCGAAACACCTGTGGTCAGGCACCGAGAGCCATGGGAAATCTTCAGCACACAACGGCCTCGTCTCTGATTCACACTGTAAGAGAGATCCTACCGTGGCGTTGCTACAGCCAACCCAATAATTGATACCTAAACACAGAAAGGTTAATTAGGGGTTGCGGCGAATTATTCAATATGGTCGTAATACCTTCAAAAACAAAATTCTGATGCCGTACCGAATGTATCTGAGGTGCGTGATAGCATTTGGTGCCCCTTGCGTTTGTCTTCTTGCGTCCTCCGTGTTCATACCACCAACAACCCTAGAAATGTCTCACTATTCATCATCATCATCATCATCATCGACAGCATGACATCAGTGTTCAACACCGACGCTTGAGATAGTGGAAAGAAGTCATCCATGAACGACATTAAAGATGAGGGGAGAGGTGATGATTTCGGACAAGAATGCAAATCGGGATAGTTTCTTGAGAGGTTGGAAAGCTTCTGAGGAACACACTGGTTGAACTTACGTCATCATCATCATCGACAGCATGACATCAGTGTTCAACACC